ATCACTCCCTCACCTTCTCTTGATCAACAACTGCATCCATATTTGCTTTAAACACACTAGTAGGTGCCCTTTATCCACTCAATGCATCTCTACCGGAAGTTAAAGTTCTGTTTCATCATGTAACCATTCAAAAGTTTACAATCCAAAAAAATAATTGCAAGATTGATCAACAACAGTTTTGAGAATGCTTGCAAAACAAAGTAAGCTAGTTATGTTTTAGTGTAATTATATTGCATCTTTTTAACAATATTTTATCCCATAGATGATTGTACTAAATGAATAAATATTTTTACATGATTAAAATGCATAAAAATGATTTTGTTTAGATATATATATGTATCTTAAATTTACAATAATCAATTTATATTCTTTACCCTTTCTAGTAGTTGTAATATTGTGCACATGATACGTACTAAGTTTGAATCCTTGTTATCATAGCAATTCTTATGAAAAATAATAATTATCTATCATTTGATTAATATATAATGAAGAGTGATAGTGATATACTATTTGTATCATTCATAAATGATTTATATTATGATATAAAATTATTTTTAAAGATTTAATTTTTCTCAAATGAATGATGTATATTAAAGAATAAAATGTAATAATAACCATTGATTAAAAAGTCAATGATAGAAAATTTTGATAAAACCAAATATATGTAGAATATATAAAATATAAAATTAATTATAATATCTATTGTTGATTTTTTTAATCTAACAATTATTATTGCATTTTAATATATATTATATTCAAAGAGATAAGAGGTTAAAAAAAAATAGAGTATTCAAACAATAAATCATTTCAATATTGAGTTATTGCTTGCTAAATAATAAATCATTCATTTGATATTAAAAATATAAGATACACTTGCATGTTAAGAAAGTGAAGTTTGTTCTTTTCTATGTGAGAACAGAATATTCAAATGAGAACCAATGTGAAAGAGAGTGAAAACAATTAAATGTTTAAAATAAATAATTATTCTAATTTATATATACTATAAAGTGATTATAAGTTTTTGTTATATAATATAAACATTTATGTTATGTATTGTTTAAACTAAAATATTAATTAATTATAATTTCAATCACTAATTTTTAATTAATAATAATAATTTTTTATCAGCATAAAATAGGCATTTAATGCCTCTGTTTATTTCTTAAAATTAAAAAACAAAAGTTGACTGAACCAATTTTACTTTCTTTAACAACCCTTGTAGTTGTTTCCACTTTTTTCAAAAGAAAATGAGAAATAAAAATAATAAAAGAAGTTAAAAAAGTTGTTTATAATAAGAAAGTGAGTAATTTGAGGGTATTTATAGAGATAAAAAAAAAACTTGTAAAACATGTGTACACCAAAATGTCATATGTTATTTTTATATATTGTAATGTTATAGATAATTCAAAATCACTCCAAGGAAAAAAAATCCTTATTTAAGATATTACCAATACTAAATTTGAATTGGTAAATAAATAAAATAATTTTATGAGTTGTTTGATTTATGAAAGAAAGATAAAAAGAAAGAAAGCAAAAGGAAATAAAATGAAAGGAAGTGAAAATTAGTAAATATATATTATATATATATATATAATTATTTAGTTGTTTGGTAAAAGAGAAAAGAGTGAGAGGAAAGAAATAAAATAATTTAAAAGACATAAATGACCTAGTAAAATTGATATTATAATTTTATTTATATATGATGAAGTATATTAATAAATGACAATAAGATTATCTTGTTCCACCTTATTGAATGAAAAATCATTTCGTATTTGCATCCATACATGTGGTGTATCAGTTAAAGTGAGTACTCACAAATTTTATTAATATTTATTGTTTTCTATTAGTATTTGTTAATTTTTTAAGAAATTAAAAAATAATAAAACTTATATTTTGTGTTAATTCTATTGAAATATTAAAAATAAATAATTGATGTCAAATTTTGAAACTGCATTTAACATAAATTTTGTTGAAATATTTAAAATGGTTAAAACACAAAAAATAATAACTTAAAATATATTAATCTCATAAGTAGTAATGAAAAAAAATTGTGTAACATCCCAAATTTTTATAAAAAATTAATTGATATTTTAATTAATTAATTTGAGATATTTTGAAAAAAAAGTTATTGATAAAAAAAAATATTTTATAAATTAATTATTATAGGTATTTGCAATATTTTTTCTAAGATAAATAATTAAATGGACTTTTGTCGACATGTTATGTGTAGGTTAGAGTTAATATTTTTATGAGTACATCAGTAAGACTAGGGTTATAATTTTAACATGCACCTTGCGAATTTGAATAGGAAGGAAAATCAAAGGTAGCAGGAGATGATCTTGAAAATCTCAATCAAGAAGACTTTGACATCTATCAAGGTAAGGAGGGGTGAGAATCTCACTCCAAGTGTATGTTATTTGTGGTGTAGCAAGACTGACCCCCAATCCTATTGTTTGTATTTGAATGCATAAGGGATTAAGCTCAAATATTGTTTGTAATTGTAATGTGTATTTGTTGTCTCCTTGATTTCTAAATATGTTGTTGTGTTGTAATTATGTTGCTTATCTATGAGTTTGACTTTGAATGTGAATCTATAAGTGCTCATGAGTTCTCCGAGAAACTCTAAGATTTGGAATTAAACAATAATTAGATGAATAATTATGATTAGGAGACCCTTATAATATAATGAATTAATTAGACTATATACACTATTTTTTCTATAATGAATATGTGTAATTTGTGAGACTTACTTAAGGTGAGTGTGATTTGTAATTATGAAAAAAAAGGATCTTTTTGATACCATGTTAGGCACCACATGAGGCCATTGAATGCAAAGCAACAAATGAGCCTTTATAATGATCATGCTAAACGTGAGGAGGTGCATGCAGGGCGTGAGAGTCACAAAATGCTTGCAACTTATGGATGTCGAGTATGAGCTTGGTCAGCTAAGCATGGGAACTCTAAGACTCCCTATATAAAATTTATTGAGCGTTAGGAGAGTCACACCAGGCGTGATTCTTTCAAAGACTCTTAGTCTCAATTGCAATAGGCACGGGGTACCCCATGTTAGGCGTTATCTTGTGCCTACGATTGAAAGGTGTGGAATTGATTAATTGGTGGATATCCTTGATTAATAAGCCATATGAATTAGTTGATTAAGATAAGTGAATTATGTGTGTAGTGTGGAAAAGTGAGAAAGTATGTGATGATAACGGGAACCCTTAAGATTGTGATATGTGACAAAAGTGCAAGTGATTATGTGACAAAGTCTATGTTTAACTTAGTAATGTGAAAATTTGGATGAATTGCCTAACAAAGATGTGACTAATATGATATGAAATTGTTTATATGTGGATTGTGAATGTGAATTATATAATCATGCATAGAATCTACATGACATATAACGTTTGATTATGTGTTTTTTTCCCTTTAATTAAAGTTACTATACACAAAGTGTTTTTAACTACTTACTATTGTCATAGATGATTTTTGACAATAGTGACACTTTTTTATTTTCCTCCTCCTCCTTTTTGCTTTTTTTTAGACAACAATTAAAACAAAAATCATTGTTATTTTTTAGACTTTGAGAGCTTTAAGATTAATCATCGACGACATTACTTTAATTGTCGTGGAACTTGTAGAAGACAAAGTCGAAGAACATATCACAATGCTTCGATTTTGATGCCAAAGTGCACCTTGGTGAGGCGCCCCATGAAAAGCTTCGAGCACAAAATCTGGTTGTTGTTGGTGGCCCGAGAAGCAAACCATAAGAAGATGGGGAAGGGAAGTAGAAAAGGAAAAAAGGAAAAAATAGAACCACCGCCACTAGATATCATCTCCAACGACAATTTATGGTGTTGAGAAGCCCTCTAATAGTCTTGCCTGAAGTGGGAAGATATCTTGCATAGGTTACGTTCATAACATTGAAAAATTTAGACTGGTCTGATACTTAGAAACTGTGATACATGATGAATCAAATAACTGCAAAGCAAACTTAGCATGGGTGGTATGCACGTCTAAAATAAATAGATAATATTTTACTTTTTTTTATTATTAATTTAACAAAGGGACGTAAGGCCAACACAAGCAAAACACTACGCTATCTATCAAAAGACGTTGATGACGCATAAGTAAGGCAAAAAGGATAATAGTTGTCAACTAGGCTATGAAAAATGACTTCTAAAATGGGAAAATAGTTTGGAAATTAGGACCAGAATTGAATTGAATCAGAGATTAAATTTGTTCATTAAACATATAAAAACAATATTTACATTTTTTTTTTAAAATTACATAAATTAAAATCAAAATTTATTAATTTTATAGAAATTTTAAAACGTATTTAAATTCAAGAGAATCATATTTATTTATATAAAAAGGGACTTAATAAGAATTAATATTGATAATAACTAGCAATTTAGTTTATACAAAGGTTAAAATTTTATTTTAAAAAATAAAAATAATAAATAAATACTTTTTCATATATAATTAAAATCTATAATAAATAAATATTTTTGTCATATAAATTATATTATATTTTTTGATAATTTTTTAACCATTGATAATTCATTTTAAAATTTTTATATTTAATTTAGTAATAAAAATGAAAATATAAATTGAAAGAGAAGAAAATTTTCTAAAAACACCACTTTAAAAAAAACTAAAAACTTTATATCTGAAGAAAATTATTATAAATTATACATAAAAAATATTGAGATGATTATTATTTTCAAAATAATATTATTCAATTTTTTAAAAAATACAATAATATATGTAAAAAATATTTTATAACTTAAAAATAATTATCTGATTCTAATTTGATTTATAAATAAAAGTTTAATATTTGAAAAAGAATGATAATAATGTAAAATATAGTTATTTAAGTAAAAAATATGGATATTGGAGGGTAAAATAGGGGCGTTGGTTGAAAAAAAAAAAGTGAAATGAAGAGGTAGAAGTTAGAAGAGAGGAGAAAATGAGAGAATGAGACTATGAGAGGGTGTAGCAGTGATCCACCTTTTTCCTCGACGCGCATAATATCCCTCTCATTCTCATTTATGTAAAGACAAAACCAAAACCGTGGATGTGTCTCCACAACCCACCATTCCCATTCTCTTTCTCTCTCTCTCTCTCTCTCATAGATCTGGCTGAAACCCTCGCGATCAGATCTCGTTTTCCTAGAATGTCCTCTAACCGTTCAGATCTAGGCTCCCGGATCTACCCGGACTCCGCCGCAATCGACCACTTCGACCGCCTCCCGGACTCCCTCCTCCTCCTCGTCTTCAACAAGATCGCCGACGTCAAGGCCCTCGGCCGCTGCTGCGTCGTCTCCCGCCGCTTCCACTCCCTCGTCCCCCAGGTCGACAACGTCCTCGTCCGCGTCGACTGCGTCATCTCCGACGACGACTCCTCCTCCTCCGCCGCCGCCTCCGACAAGTCCCGCGGCCCCTTCTGGACCCTCCTCCGCCTCGTCTTCGGCGGCATCGTGAAGCCCATCCAAACCCTGGGGCAGTTCCTGGGCCCGAAGCGCCCCTCCCCCTCCCTGGCCGTGGGTGTGGGTGTGGCCTCGGAGGACTCGGAGGCGGAGGCGGAGGCGGAGACGGAGGGCGCCGTGCCCCACCACTCCCCGACCCAGGTCCTGAAGAACTTCAACGAGATTCGGCTCCTCCGCATCGAGCTTCCGAGCGGCGAGCTCGGCATCGAGGACGGCGTCCTCCTGAAATGGCGCGCGGACTTCGGGTCCACCCTGGACAATTGCGTGATCCTGGGCGCGTCCTCCGTCTTCCACCCTAAATCGCAAGAGCCCTCGACAACGACAACCCTAGAGGCTCAGGCTCAGGCTCAGGACGACAACGGAAGCATACCTGACTCCTTCTACACGAACGGCGGCCTTAAACTGCGCGTGGTTTGGACCATTAGCTCCCTGATCGCCGCCTCCGCCAGGCATTACCTTCTCCAGCCCATTATCTCGGAGCACGGCACTCTGGAGAATTTGGTGTTGACCGACGCTGATGGACAGGGCGTGTTGTACATGAACAGGGAGCAGCTGCAGGAGCTGAGAGTGAAGCCTCTTTCCGCTTCTTCTGCTTCCAAGAGGACTCTGGTTCCGGCTCTTAACATGAGGCTCTGGTACGCCCCCCAGCTTGAGTTGAGTGATGGCCTCGTCTTGAAGGGTGCCACTCTTGTTGCCATTCGCCCCACTGACCACTCTCCCAAGGAGGCTTCTGATTTGTCTTGGGTTTCCTCCGCCTTTCAGGAGCCTTACAGGACGGCTGCTACAATGCTTGTCAAGAGGAGGACTTATTGCCTTGAGATGAACTCCTTCTAATGTCATGGACTCATGGTAATATTCTCATTTCTACTTCTTACCACTCTATTTTCCTCTTTAGCTTCCACTAATCTTACATATTATTTCAGGAATCATACGAACGAATCAGGATACTCATGTTTTCTTTGGGGCCTACAGCTCGCTCAATGCAATCTGTGCCCCACATTGGACTAGATACTACTAAAGAGACCTCAACATATCATGCTTGAGCGCAAAAACTGAATGCATCTGCTGCTTTTTTTTATTTGAGGCAATGCTTGTAAGAGTGCACACCTGCAACTAGGATCATCATGTAAGAGCTTTAAGTTTCTACTCATCTGCCCTTATCAGATCTCTCTCTGTGAATATTCTAGGTATCAGTTTGGTTTGCCTTTGTCATATATTTTTCTCAACTTAAATGAGCAATGTACTTTGCTTCTGTAATTTTAAATAACTTCTGGATGAGTCAATCATGCCAAATGCAATACTTGTTCCTGCACGCACTTTTCTTTTTTGTCGTTGGAACCTTTTTTGGGGGCTCAGGTCAGTCAAATTCATTTGCAAGTTACTTGTCGGTGAACTGTTCAATAAAATACACTCGAAGCCAAGGTGGAGCTCATAATCTTGGCTTGTTTATTCAATGAACCCAAGTTTAACTTTTCAGATTTTTTGTTCACTCCCTGATTTAGGGCTCAAGTGATCCGACTTATTCAATTATAAGCAAACAGTTCAAGCAGCTAAAAGTGGCTACTGTCTACCCTAAGTTGAGTGAAGTATGAACGACTCCAATGAACTGCACACGAGCAGTATATTTATTTTTTCGACCAAAAAAGAGAGAGAGTAGATATTCTTTTTAGTAAATATAAAGAATGAGTTTATATTCTAGGAAGAAATAAAGTCAGTTTTTATTATGAGTTTCGCTAATTAGATTTGTGATTGTTTTACTCTATGTGCTAAAGTAATAATATAATATATGTGCATGAAGCTTATAATTAAATGTTCAACAAATACGGGGTTGTTAATATCTTCTTAATTGTGTATTAATTAAATTATTTCATAAGTGATATCATGCCTTTTTTTATAAAGAAATTAAGATTTATTTTTCTTATGATGAAAAAGGCAAATTCTCTACCATTGTTCAAGTTTGTGTTCTCGGTGTATTTTATAATAAATTTGATTTAAAAAAATAAAATATATTTAATTTGTTTCATGAAGAAAACTTTTTTCTTAATCTTAACAAAAAAATACACGTATAGGATTTTAAAAGTTAATCATTTATTAAGATTTACCATAGAAACGTAAGGTTTGAACTTTGCTGAAGAAATTTAATTAAGTGGTGTTGACTATTGAGCAAGGTTCAGCTCGAGTCCAAGAAATGAAGATTGCATTTTCAAGTAGTCTGAAGCGTACTTGAGTTAAGGCTAGTTTGCTTGGGTTAGCTGTTATAACATTTGTATGGAATTATGAATTGGCAATAGTTATAACGTATTTAATAACAGCGGTTGGTATGCAAGTTGTATGAGAATTTTAGTGGAGTGAATGCAGAAAATTAGCCAGGCAGTTAGTTGATGTAGCTGGTTTGTAATGGAGGTTGATAAAAATGGTCTCTTTAAAGGTCACATGATGTCTTGATCATAGTTGGTGTCAAAACTGCAAGCTTTAATTTGCGGGGTGGATGGTCCCCTGGGATAGGTAGCGGCCTTTTAATTGCCCACCACTCACATAGCTAGCTGTACACACTAAAACCACATTCCTAATTGCAAAGTAATGAGTTGGATTGCATCTATCTACAAGGGTACTAAGAATCAAAATAAATTACTAAGGCCAATCTAGGCTGCTAAGTACTCTATGTTTAGCATCATTATGCAAGTTGATCATTTTTTTAAATAAATTTCATTGATGATTAATATTTTCTCAGAAATTTTGATTAATAATCTTATATAATAAAATTTGATTTCGAGATATTTTAAAAAATCAAGTTTAATTTTAATTTTAACTAATGACATGTTGGGGAAAAAGATAAATTTTAAATCTTCTTAAGTTTTTGTTATAATAAATTTTTTAATTACAATTTTTTTTTATATATTTTAATTATTAGATATATCTGTTTTTATTCGTTATTAAAAATAATTATTTGCCGAGATAATTGAAATTGTGCATTTTAGACATTATTTGTCACAAAAACTCAATTTCACCGCTCACCAGCTGGTGAATTGAAAACCTACACCGACCCATCCCTCCTAATGAAAATGAAAAGGGGGCAGAGAGGTCAAAATTTTGACTCTTTCTTTTTCTTTTTTTGATGATTCGGCTGTTTCGTTCTAAATGCCAAAAACTTTTTTAGCAAATTCAAAATACTTCTAAATTTTAGGTTTTTCTTCTTCTCTTTTTTTGTAGATAACGATGTTCTCATATGATTAGGGAAATCCTAAAAGTATATATCCTTTTGTTTATCATATCGATGGTCTGAAGGGAAGAACTTTATTTCTAATCATATAACTCAACCGCTGCCTCCAATTTCACAAAGATCCGTTGTTTGGGAAGTTCTTTCTTTTACCCCAAACATAGTTTAATCATAGTCTTGGTTGTAAAATGTGAAGCTTCACAACAATTCGATCTATAAAAATAATTGTTTTTTTTTTTACATTTTTATATTTTCCAAAATTTTATATTATTTTTGGATTTTTATTAATTAAAAAATTATAAAGCATTCTAATCTATTAAATTAATAAAGAAAATAAGCAATTCACAAATAAAAAAAAATGGAAAGAAAAATAATTACTAAATATATAAATAACTGAGACATGATTATTCTCACTTAATTAATAGTTTGAAATTTAAATTATATATAATTATATTAAATATTTTATCTTAAGTAATTATGCCAAAGTGAAGTATGATTTTCTCTCATAAAAAATAGGTTTTTTTTTTTAAATAACTACCAACCAATTGACCACATAAAAAAATGTTGATGTGTCAATTCCATGAACACTTGAAAACTGAAGCTTATAGGACACCTACACTCAGTAGTGGATTCAAGACTTTAAGTTAGCGTGATATTTTTTTTAAAAATATAAAAATTAATGATCATATATATATACAGAAAAAAACATAAATATTAAAAAACTATCTGTAAATTCAATACATAAAATTAGAAAGTATAAAATATAATATTCCCAACACTCCCATGGTTCTCACCAAAAGATTTTGAAGAAAAGGATGAGCACCTACACTAGTATGTATCTTGTGATTCTCTTAGACCCTGGAAGTCGGAAACACATACAGCATCTCTCACTCTTAGGTTAGAAATTAGAGAAGACAATGTTCAAACAACACGACTTCTCCTATGTTGGACTTCTTTTTTGCTCTTTTATTCTTTCTTCTCTATTGTTTTCTCTTGCCTTTTTTTTTAAAAAAAAAAAAAAAGAAATTAAAAGACTTATTTTACTTTCTAGTTTCTACTAACTACTTTATAATTTTTTTTATTTCATCGTTAATTCTTTTAATTCAAAATAAAATTAAATCAAAGAATGCTGTCATTTTTCTTCTTCTTTCTTTTGGATTCCAAATTTTAAGACTTTCAAAATTGTTCATTTTAGCATTTTGTATTATTATTTTCTTCGATCTTTATAACAACACAATAAAAAGAATAGGTCAAAATCGAGTCTCCACACTAAAGATTAGAAAACATTGTGTTTAAACTTCAGTTTAACATAGACTTTTATCTAGTGTTGGGAAAAAAAAATGTTTTCCCTCAATTTTGTGTTAATAATACTTAATAAAACCACGTTGACTTATGAACTTTGAAGGGGAAAAAAATCCTTTATTTTCAAAACTAAGTAAACATTCTAAAAAAGTTTCATCATTAAAAAAAATAAAATTTCTTAGCTTACAGAAATTGCGGGCATCACAGTTGTGATGACAGGGCAAGGGGGGTTCCTAGAACCAACCTTTATTTTCTTTCTCAAACAATTATTCATATTATTGTTTGTTATTTTATTAGGTAATTAGCTGTTTCTGATTCTAACTTTATCTGTTTGTCACATGAGGAGCCTTAGCTTTGCACACATACAATCCACGTGAAATGAGGTCTGGACTTTGTGACTAATTGAACACTGCAACAAACAGGTCTTCTTGCACACTACTCATAACCTTTCTTTTTCTATAGTCTTCCACTGATTCATTTGTTTTCTTATTATACACACATTAATTAGGAGCTATATCCCATATTATAATTGAACATGTCGCCTTCTATTTCATTCCACCCTACTCAATTTTCATAAACTTAGTAGCAAGAGTAGATGCACCCAAGTGGCTGAATAATATTATAGATCACATATGGATAATCTAATCCATTAAATTCTAGTTAGAAATTCGGTCTCTAATTAATATGTATAGAAAAATATTTATAAAAACAATTAAACTCTTAAATAAAACATATCTAGAGAGATTAGTGTTTAAATTTTGATTAAAAAATATCTTTAATTTACTTAAATAATAATAATTATTATTATTATAGGACACAGCAAATGGTGAACAAGCCCCCACAAGGTAATATTTATGCCGGCAGAGTGTGTGACAGAGAGGGACTGAATCAGTGGACAAAATATAATTAATATGCCAAGAAGGGTATTGAAAACGAAAAATTACATGAATGGGTCTTTAGGATTATCTAATAATTGTACTTTTCATCATCACACTAACATTTTGGAGCATTTTCAGGTGGCACTTGCATCTTCCAAATGGAGCTTGTCAACTTTTATGCTTTTGGCCTTTAGTCCTCAATTAGTTTGTTGTCTACAGGAGCTTCTTATTTGACCTTTAGGGGGTGAATCAATTAATTAATGTTGAGACTTAAATTATTAGGTGTGACTGTGAACCAAACCAAGCAATTAGATGTATATTTCTAAGTTTCTAATGCATTTTTAAAAGTTGGAAGCTTAATTATTGTTGATTTTATTAGCACACATCCACGAGGACTAAAGTGTTACTTTATATAAGGGTTCCTATCTTAACCAATTATTTCTCTTTCATGATTTCATAGCAGGCGTCATCTATTCATGAATATAATGGTAGAAGATCCTGGAATTGATTTTATTAACTTCTGCTAAGGTTTATTATAACATGTGTCTTAACTTGTTTTAAAAGTGACACTGAAGTTTGAATAGAAAAATCGCTCGTATATCTAGGCCTCTTCCTTTTTTCCCCTTCTTTATCAGCTAAAGTTGCTATATGTCATTGTTATAAAGTGAAAATTGCATTGATTATGTACTTTTGCATAGCAAATGCAAATTAAAGGCTCTATGAGTCCAGCCAAAGTTAATGCATTGTTATTCCTAGAGGGTTGTACATTTTGTAAGCTTATTGGTTACATAATCATGTCCTAACACACCTCTAAAACCTGCTAGTGGTTACTTCTGAATCTGACGGGGAATAGAAAATTAGATATTCGGTATTCTGAGCCCAATTTATCGTCAAAAGTTTATTAAGTTTGGCTCTTTCTTACACTTTATTTCTTAAGCACATTTGATATTTCTTCTTATTTTTTTCATTGTATCACTCATTACATCTAAATTGTCTCTCTGGTCTCTCTTCCACTCTCCAAGGATATATACACTAAAAAGAGTGTTTATACTTATAATATTATTCGGTGTGAAGGTTAA